GCAAAAGTTTACACAAAACATTGTGAAACCTCATGAATGAACTTTCATGTATTTTTCTTCCTATTGCATAACATCAAGAATAACCTTGAAATTTTGGAAAAATTACACCCATCGATGTGACTTGGGTACATTTTATTTTCCTGAATTTCGCTGAAATGCCTTTAGGATGTCGCTGAATGTTATTCTGGATTTTGGGAAATGACTAATGGACCTGCTGATGTGCTCGTTCTTGATCACAGCTGTCTGTGTTTCAACAGAAATATTACAGAAACGGTGGTCACTTTATTAGGTACATTGTTTAACTACACATTATCACATACTGTCAAAGTTCGGCTGTGTGGCAGGATGTAGGACCCAAACGCAGGACTCAAACATGGGAAGTTACCTGAAAACGGCAGCCATGACACACACCTAATCAACCGATCATACAGAAGCAACTCAGTGCATTAGGCATGTAGATATGGTGAAGACAGTCTCCTGAAGTTCAAACTAACCAGAAAAAAGGTGAATTAAGTGGCTTTGGGCATGACATCGTTTTAACACCGTGTGAGACGGGCTGGTCTGAGTATTTCAGAAACTGCTGATCTGCCGTGTTTTTCCCACACAGCTATCTCTTGGGATTGCAGCTAATGGTTTGAGAGAAAATATCCAGTAAGTATCAGTTCTTGCCGCTTCAGTTCAGTTAATGATGCCAGAGGTTAGAGGAGGATGGCCAGACTGCTTTGCTACAACCATCTACGTTTAGGTGCATCTCTGAATACACAACACTTCAAACCCTGATGTATTGTGATGAAGACGAAGTTACAGGATGAAGCATGAAGATCGGAAAGATGTTGGTTGGTCTGATGAGTGTTATTTGGATGGTAGGGTCTGAATGTAGTACAAACATTTAAAGCATGGATTCGTCCTTACTTGCATCAGTTTTTCAGACAGCTGGTTTTGTGATAGTGTGCTGGATATTTTCTTGGCGTACTTTGGGTTTCTTGAGGATGCATAAAAACAAAAACATGCTTACACTCTTTGTCAGCTTAGAAGTAAGAAACAGTGCCTGTGTTATTAGTAAAGGTCACCCCCACCCCATCAGGTTTGCTTGTTTGCAACCATAAATGGTGCTGCTTTTGGGAGATTATGGGTCAGTTTTGAAGTAAACTTGTCTAACACCTGTATTTGTCACAGAGCTTTCTCTGCACTGTCCAGGTCACTTGGTGAGGAAGGTTATCAGTGACCAGTTAGCCAGATCTAGTGTCAAGCTCTGTGCTTTGGGCACTGAGTTGTAAGCTTACTTGTATTTAACAGTCAACCAATTAGTAATGCTTTGCTTATTTGTCTACTCTGCTCAGGAGCTAGAAATTCACTAGTGTTTTACCCTTGTACGAATCCTTGACCATCAGGAGTGTTTTGCCCTGTGTTAACCAGTCAGTCTGCCGAATGTCTGTCTCTGTGTTTCTGACATCTACTTCGAGGCCCACCAGACTCTTAGCACTGATGTTGTTGTCTTTTCACTTTTGCTCAGTCTCAGCTCTGGCTGACTCATTCATGTGTCCTGTTGTCTCGATTTGGAGAAGGATACAGTATTCATACTCTTGGCTTCTGTCTCTCTGGGACTCACTGATAGATATCTTCTTGCACTTCTCTATCAACTTCTGTTAGCAACTCAAGTCTCTCCGGGCTTTCTTGAGAGACTTTAGTCTGGATAGTTCCTTCTCCTTGCAGTGGCATTAAAGAGCTCATTGGAGTCTGTGATACTACTGGTAGCATTCATAGTGTTAACTGTGTTACCATGTACCAGTATCTCTACCAGTGGGACCAGTGTCTGTCAGCGAGCTGGAGGGGTTGCAGCTAAGAGGTTGACTGTGTTTAGACTTGCTGCAGTTTTCATCCTCAGTTCGGTGGATGCAGCTGTCACGACTGCTGGTGCAGTATTATGTAGCTCTTTACCACCATGTATGCAGAGTTCTCACTCTGTTATTTATCTATTATTACTGCTGTTTTTTTGTATGTAGTGTCATCCAAGAAAACCTGTTATAACTGTACACTGTACAGATGTAACAGTGTCACGTTCTTGGTGCAAGTCTTTTCATATTGATTTACTTGTTAGTTATTTTTGTAAGATGAGACAGAAGGGAGCTGCTTGTTGAGCCGTTTATTATTTACTGTTTGATGC